TATGTGTTAGTAACGGTGACATCGACACTCACACTACGTGTTAGTAACGGTAACATCTACACTCCCACTACGTGTTAGTAACGGTGACATCTACACTCCCACTACGTGTTAGTAACGGTGACATCTACACTCCCACTATGTGTTTCTAACGGTAACATCTACACTCCCACTACGTGTTAGTAACGGTGACATCTACACTCCCACTACGTGTTTGTAACGGTAACATCTACACTCCCACTATGTGTTAGTAACGCTGACATCTACACTCACACTACGTGTTAGTAACGGTAACATCTACACTCCCATTACGTGTTAGTAACGGTGACATCTACACTCCCACTACGTGTTTGTAACGGTGACATCTACTCTCCCACTACGGGTTAGTACCGGTGACATCTACACTCCCACTATGTGTTAGTAACGGTAACATCTACACTCCCACTACGTGTTAGTAACGGTGACATCTACACTCCAACTACCTGTTACTAACGGTGACATCTACACTCCCACTACGTGTTAGTAACGGTGATATCGATACTCCCACGACGTGTTAGTAGCGATGACATCTACACTCCCACTACGTGTAAGTGACGGTGACATCTACCCTCCCACTACCTGTTACTATCGATGACATCTACCCTCCCACTAAGTGTTAGTAACGGTGACATCTACACTCCCACTACGTGTTAGTAACGGTGATATCTTCCCTCCAACTACGTGTTAGTAACTGTGACATCTTCCCTCCCACTACGTGTTAGTACCGGTGACATCTACACACCCACTACGTGTTTGTAACATTGATATCGACAATCCCACTACGTGTTTGTAACTGTGACATCTACATTCCCACTACGTGTTTGTAACGGTGACATCTACACTCCCACTATGTGTTAGTGACGGAGACATCTACCCTCCCACTACGTGTTAGTAACGGTGACATCTACTCTCACACTATGTGTTAGTGACGGAGACATCTACCCTCCCACTACGTGTTAGTAACGGTGACATCTACTCTCACACTACGTGTTTGTAACATTGATATCGACACTCCCACTACGTGTTTGTAACGGTGACATCTACACTCCCACTACGTGTTTGTAACGGTGACATCTACACTCCCACTACGTGTTAGTAACGGTGATATCTTCCCTCCAACTACGTGTTAGTAACTGTGACATCTTCCCTCCCACTACGTGTTAGTACCAGTGACATCTACATACCCACTATGTGTTTGTAACATTGATATCGACACTCCCACTACGTGTTTGTAACGGTGACATCTACATTCCCACTACGTGTTTGTAACGGTGACATCTACATTCCCACTACGTGTTAGTGACGGTGACATCTACCGTCCCACTACGTGTTAGTAACGGTGACATCTACTCTCCCACTACGTGTTTGTAACATTGATATCGACACTCCCACTACGTGTTTGTAACGGTGACATCTACTCTCCCACTATGTGTTTGTAACGGTGACATCTACTCTCCTACTATGTGTTTGTAACGGTAACATCTGCTGTACCACTACGTGTTAGTAACGGTGATATCGACACTCCCACTACGTGTTTGTAACGGTGACATGTACTCTCCCACTATGTGTTTGTAACGGTGACATCTACTCTCCCACTATGTGTTAGTAACGGTGACATCTTCCCTCCCACTACGGGTTAGTACCGGTGACATCTACACACCCACTACGTGTTTGTAACATTGAAATCGACACTCCCACTACGTGTTTGTAACGGTGACATCTTCCCTCCCACTACGTGTTAGTAACGGTAACATCTACACTCCCACTACGTGTTTGTAACGGTAACATCTACACTCCCACTACGTGTTTGTAACGGTAACATCTACACTCCCACTACGTGTTTGTAACGGTAACATCTGCTGTACCCCTACGTGTTAGTAACGGTGATATCGACACTCCCACTACGTGTCAGTGACGGTGACATCTACACTCCCACTACGTGTTAGTAACGGTGACATCTTCCCTCCGACTACGTGTTTGTAACAGTGACATCTTCCCTCCCACTACGTGTTAGTAACGGTGACATCTACACTCCCACTACGTGTTAGTAACGGTGACATCTACACTCCCACTACGTGTTTGTAACGGTGACATCTACACTCCCACTACGTGTTTGTAACGGTGACATCTACACTCCCACTACGTGTTAGTAACGGTAACATCTACACTCCCAGTATGTGTTTGTAACGGTGACATCTACACTCACACTACGTGTTAGTAACGGTAATATCTACACTCCCACTATGTGTTAGTAACGGTGACATCTACACTCCCACTACGTGTTTGTAACGGTAACATCTACACTCCTACGACGTGTTAGTAACGGTGACATCTACACTCCCACTATGTGTTTGTAACGGTGACATCTACACTCCCACTACGTGTTTGTAACGGTAACATCTACACTCCCACTACGTGTTTGTAACGGTAACATCTACACTCCCACGACGTGTTAGTAACGATAACATCTACACTCCTACTACGTGTTTGTAACGGTAACATCTACACTCCTACTAGGTGTTTGTAACGGTAACATCTACACTCCTACTAGGTGTTTGTAACGGTAACATCTACACTCCTACTAGGTGTTAGTAACGTTAACATCTACACTCCCACGACGTGTTAGTAACGGTAACATCTACACTCCTGCTACGTGTTAGTAACGGTGACATCTACACTCCCACTATGAGTTTGTAACGGTGACATCTACACTCCCACTACGTGTTAGTAACGGTGACATCTACACTCCCACTACGTGTTAGTAACGGTAACATCTACACTCCCACTATGTGTTAGTAACGGTAACATCTACACTCCCACGACGTGTTAGTAACGGTGACATCTACCCTCCCACTACGTGTTAGTAACTGTAACATCTACACTCCTACTACGTGTTTGTAACGGTAACATCTACACTCCCACTATGTGTTAGTAACGGTGACATCTACACTCACACTACGTGTTTGTAACGGTAACATCTACGCTCTCACGACGTGTTAGTAACGGTAACATCTACACTCCCACTATGTGTTAGTAACGGTGACATCTACACTCCTACTACGTGTTACTAACGGTAACATCTACACTCCCACTACGTGTTAGTAACGGTGACATCTACACTCCCACTACGTGTTAGTAACGGTGACATCTACACTCCCACTACTTGTTACTGACGGTGACATCTACTCTCCCACTATGCATTTGTAACGGTGATATCTACACACCTACTACGTGTCAGTGACGGTGACATCTACACTCCCACTACGTGTTAGTAACGGTGACATCTTCCCTCCGACTACGTGTTTGTAACAGTGACATCTACTCTCACACTACGTGTTTGTAACGGTGACATCTTCCCTCCAACTACGTGTTTGTAACGTTGATATCGACTCTCCCACTAAGTGTTAGTAATGGTGATATCGATACTCCCACTACGCGTTAGTAGCGATGACATCTACACTCAGACTACGTGTAAGTGACGGTGACATCTACCCTCCCACTACGTGTTACTAACGATGACATCTACACTCCCACTACGTGTTAGTAACGGTAACATCTACACTCCCACTACGTGTTTGTAACGGTGACATCTACTCTCCCACTACGGGTTAGTACCGGTGACATCTTCACTCCCACTATGTGTTAGTAACAGTGACATCTACACTCCCACTACGTGTTAGTAACGGTGACATCTACACTCCCACTACGTGTTAGTAACGGTAACATCTACACTCCCACTACGTGTTTGTAACGGTGACATCTACTCTCCCACTACGGGTTAGTACCGGTGACATCTACACTCCCACTACGTGTTAGTAACGGTAACATCTACACTCCCACTACGTGTTAGTAACGGTGACATCTACACTCCAACTACCTGTTACTAACGGTGACATCTACACTCCCACTACGTGTTAGTAACGGTGATATCGATACTCCCACGACGTGTTAGTAGCGATGACATCTACACTCCCACTACGTGTAAGTGACGGTGACATCTACCCTCCCACTACCTGTTACTAACGATGACATCTACCCTCCCACTACGTGTTAGTAACGGTGACATCTACACTCCCACTACGTGTTAGTAACGGTGATATCTTCCCTCCAACTACGTGTTAGTAACTGTGACATCTTCCCTCCCACTACGTGTTAGTACCGGTGACATCTACACACCCACTACGTGTTTGTAACATTGATATCGACAATCCCACTACGTGTTTGTAACTGTGACATCTACATTCCCACTACGTGTTTGTAACGGTGACATCTACACTCCCACTACGTGTTAGTGACGGTGACATCTACCCTCCCACTACGTGTTAGTAACGGTGACATCTACTCTCACACTACGTGTTTGTAACATTGATATCGACACTCCCACTACGTGTTTGTAACGGTGACATCTACACTCCCACTACGTGTTTGTAACGGTGACATCTACACTCCCACTACGTGTTAGTAACGGTGATATCTTCCCTCCCACTACGGGTTAGTACCGGTGACATCTACACACCCACTACGTGTTTGTAACATTGAAATCGACACTCCCACTACGTGTTTGTAACGGTGACATCTTCCCTCCCACTACGTGTTAGTAACGGTAACATCTACACTCCCACTACGTGTTTGTAACGGTAACATCTACACTCCCACTACGTGTTTGTAACGGTAACATCTACACTCCCACTACGTGTTTGTAACGGTAACATCTGCTGTACCACTACGTGTTAGTAACGGTGATATCGACACTCCCACTACGTGTTAGTAACGGTGATATCGACACTCCCACTACGTGTTTGTAACGGTGACATCTTCCCTCCCACTACGTGTTAGTAACGGTGACATCTACCCTCCCACTATGTGTTTGTAACGGTAACATCTACACTCCCACTACGTGTTTGTAACGGTGACATCTGTTGTACCACCACGTGTTTCTAGCGTTGACGTTTTCTGTTGCCCAGCTCCGTATTTGGGCCCGGCCTGATGCCTACTCTCAGACCAAACACGCTCTGGAGTTTGGAGTGAAGACGTACAACTTCTTCACGGAGTTTTTCAACACCTCGGATGTAGTACCTAAGGCAGGTCAGTACCTACACATGCACACAAGCCATACCTCTATTATAACAAAATATGTGTGACAGTTACGTCACTTATATAGTTATATCGAAAATAAAATAAACTTCATAATAAACTTTCCTCCAGACCACGTGGCGGTTCCCGACTTCAGTGGAGGTGCCATGGAGAACTGGGGCCTGGTCATCTACCGCGAGACGGCGCTGCTGTACGACCCCCAGGTCTCCTCCAGCTCTAACAAGTACATGGTGACACTCATCATGGCACACGAGATCGCACACACGGTCAGTATCCGCTGCTAGTGTTTGTGGTTAAACCTTGGGTGGTAAGTGAGAGTTTTATAACATGTCGTCTTTGAATTGAGGGTCTCGTGTCAGTGAAACAGTATCCGTGAATTCGCAGAGTTGAAGACATCGTTGCAAGCTCCACAATGGAGTGTTTCCGACCATTGGTGATGCGTAGGGGGCATGAATAACCGACGACCAATGACACACAACTAATACGCCTGACCACTTTTGGCTATTTTGCTGGCAACTAACAGCTATTAATCACCGTGTGGATTTTCATTTTTCCAAAAGATATCTGGCCTCGGCTTTAAAGTGAGCCATCCCACAGGCAGTCAGTTCAGCCGTGATGTGGTGTCTGATGTCCGTCACACATGTCAGCAATTCCATCAGATGTCCGACAGGCAGGTCAGCCATTTCATCTGATGTCCGACAGGTCAACAATTTCATCTGATGACCGTCACACAAGTCAGTAAGTCAATCTGATGTCCGACACACAGGTCAGCCAGTAAATCGAAAGCCTGTAACTCAGGTCAGCCATTCCATCTGATGACAGTCACACAGATCACCTATTCCATCTGATGACCGACTCACAGGTCAGCCATTCCACCTGAAGGCTGTTATTCAGGTCATCTGTTCCATCTGATGTCCGACAGGCAGGTCATATATTTCATCTGATGTCTGACACACAGGTCAGCCAGTCAATCTTATGACCGACACACAGGTCAGCCATTCCACCTGAAGGCTGTAATTCAGGTCCTCTATTCAATCTGATGTCCGATCATATATTCCTTCTGATGTCCAACAGGCAGGTAATATATTCCATGTGATGTCCGACAGGGAAGATCATATATTCCTTCTGATGTCCGACAAGAAGATCATATATTCCATCTGATGTCCGACAGGAAGGTCATATATTCCATCTGATGTCCGACAGGAAGATCACATATTCCATGTGATGTCCGACAGGGAAGATCATATATTCCTTCTGATGTCCGACGAGAAGATCATATATTCCATCTGATGTCCGACAGGAAGGTCATATATTCCATCTGATGTCCGACAGGAAGATCACATATTCCATGTGATGTCCGACAGGGAAGATCATATATTCCTTCTGATGTCCGACAAGAAGATCATATATTCCATCTGATGTCCGATAGGAAGGTCATATATTCCATCTGATGTCCGACAGGAAGATCACATATTCCATGTGATGTCCGACAGGGAAGATCACATATTCCATGTGATGTCCGACAGGAAGGTCATATATTCCATCTGATGTCCGACAGGAAGATCATATATTCCATCTGATGTCCGACAGGAAGGTCATATATTCCATCTGATGTCCGACAGGAAGGTCATATATTCCATCTGATGTCCGACAGGAAGGTCATATATTCCATCTGATGTCCGACAGGAAGATCATATATTCCATCTGATGTCCGACAGGAAGGTCATATATTCCATCTGATGTCCGACAGGAAGATCATATATTCCATCTGATGTCCGACGGGAAGATCATATATTCCATCTGATGTCCGACAGGAAGGTCATATATTCCATCTGATGTCCGACAGGAAGATCACATATTCCATCTGATGTCCGACGGGAAGATCATATATTTCATCTGATGTCCGACAGGAAGATCATATATTCCATCTGATGTCCGACAGGAAGGTCATATATTCCATCTGATGTCCGACAGGAAGATCATATATTTCATCTGATGTCCGACGCGAAGATCATATATTCAATCTGATATCCGACAGGAAGATCATCTGTTCTATCTGATGTCCGACGGGAAGATCATATATTCCATCTGATACCCGACAGGAAGATCATATATTCCATCTGATGTCCGACGGGAAGATCATATATTTCATCTGATGTCCGACAGGAAGATCATATATTTCATCTGATGTCCGACAGGAAGATCATATATTTCATCTGATGTCCGACGGGAAGATCATATATTTCATCTGATGTCCGACAGGAAGATCACATATTCCATGTGATGTCCGACAGGGAAGATCATATATTCCTTCTGATGTCCGACAGGAAGATCATATATTTCATCTGCTGTCCGACACACAGGTCAGTCATTCCATCTGATGTCCGACAGGAAGGTCTTCTAGTCCTTCTGATGTCCCACACGCAGGTCATCCATTCCATCTGATCTGGCAGCAAGAAACACACTTTTTTGTTTTCTATTTCAACTCCAACTTTTCAAATCGACGAGGGTGCATAGTTGGGCTTTTCGTCTTAGACGGCGCAAATCGCTGTGCAGAGGTGGGTACGCTCAGGTGTGTCAGAAACCTATGATCGTGGGATCGACTCCCACCATTATACATGCATCACTTCGGGTTTTCCTCTGACAACGAGATTTAACCCAACTCACTCACTTACTCACTCACTTAGACTGATGACTTTGCAAACTCGGACTCAAAATGCTGCATTCGCACATTCTCGATGTCGTGCTTTGGTCAGTACTTTACAGTTTTCACTTGTTTTTGTATTGGTGACAAACGCGACAGAGTCTCATCTAAAATTCAATAGTTGTATTCATAGCGATATAATCTCAATATGAATTGCAGTGCACACAATATGCGCGTCTCATAAATGAGATTTTACTAAGTATCGCGCATCCCTAGTACAGCGACGTCCCATGTTGTAGCAGGCTCGATGTCAAGTAGCTTGGTGAACCCTGTTATAGTTTACCCCTGACGTGGCGGACCCCGGGTTTGTGTACCCCTGGTGTTGTCAACCTCGGTATAGTATACCCCTGACGTGTTGGACCCCGATATAGTGTACACCTGGCGTGGTGGACCCCCAGTAAAGTGTCACCTGGCGTGGTGAACCCCTTATAGTATACCCTTTGCGCGGTGCTGGACCCCGTTTTTGTGCACCTCTGGCGTGGTGGTGGATCCTGGTATAGTGTAACCCTGGCGTGGTGGGCCCCAGTAAAGTGTACACCTGGCGTGGTGAACTCCTTATAGTGTACCCTTTGCGTGGTGGTGGACCCCGTTATAGTGCACCTCTGGCGTGGTGGTGGATCCTGGTATAATGTAACCCTGGCGTGGTGGTGGATCCTGGTATAATGTAACCCTGGCGTGGTGGTGGATCCTGGTATAATGTAACCCTGGCGTGGTGGTGGATCCTGGTATAATGTAACCCTGGCGTGGTGGTGGATCCTGGTATAGTGTAACCCTGGCGTGGTGGATCCCCTTATCGTGTACTCCTGACGTGGTGGACCTCGGTAAAGTGTACCCCTGGCGTGGTGGTGGAGCCCGGCACATAGTGCACCCCTGGCATGGTGGACCCTGGTATAGTGTACCCCTGGCATGGTGGACCCTGGTATAGTGTACCCCTGGCGTGGTGGTGGACCCTGGTATAGTGTACCCCTGGCATGGTGGTGGACCCTGGTATAGTGTACCCCTGGTATGGTGGTGGACCCAAGTACAGTGTACCCCTGGCGTGGTGATGGACCCCGGTATGTGTACCCCTGGCATGGTGGTGGACCCCGGTATGTGTACCCTTGGCATGGTGGTGGACCCAAGTATAGTGTACCCCTGGCGTGGTGATGGACCCCGGTATGTGTACCCCTGGCATGGTGGTGGACCCCGGTATGTGTACCCCTTGCATGGTGATGGACCCCGCTATAGTGTACCCCTGGCAGGATGGACCCCGGTATGGTGTACCCCTGGCGTGGTGGATCCCGTTATTGTGTACTCCTGACGTGTTGGACCCCGGTATAGTGTACCCCTGGCGTTGTGTTGGAGCCCGGCATAGTGCACCCCTGGCATGGTGGACCCTAGTATAGTGTATCCCTGCCATAGTGGACCTTGGTATAGTGTACCCCTGGCATGGTGGACCCTGGTATAGTGTATCCCTGGCATAGTGGGCCTTGGTATAGTGTACCCCTGGCATGGTGGACCCTGGTATAGTGTATCCCTGGCATAGTGGGCCTTGGTATAGTGTACCCCTGGCGTGGTGGTGGACCCCGGTATAGTGTACCCCTGGCATGGTGGACCCTGGTATAGTGTATCCCTGGCATAGTGGGCCTTGGTATAGTGTACCCCTGGCGTGGTGGTGGACCCCGGTATAGTGTACCCCTGGCATGGTGGACCCTGGTATAGTGTATCCCTGGCATAGTGGACCTTGGTATAGTGAAACCCCTGGCGTGGTGGTGGACCCCGGTATAGTGTACCCCTGGCGTGGTGGTGGACCCCGGTATAGTGTACCCCTGGCGTGGTGGTGGACCCCGGTATAGTGTACCCCTGGCGTGGTGGTGGACCCCGGTATAGTGTACCCCTGGCGTGGTGGTGGACCCCGGTATAGTGTACCCCTGGCAGGATGGACCCTGGTATAGTGTACCCCTGGCGTGGTGGTGGACCCCGGTATAGTGTACCCCTGGCGTGGTGGTGGACCCCGGTATAGTGTACCCCTGGCGTGGTGGTGGACCCCGGTATAGTGTACCCCTGGCGTGGTGGTGGACCCCGGTATAGTGTACCCCTGGCAGGATGGACCCTGGTATAGTGTACCCCTGGCGTGGTGGTGGACCCCGGTATGGTGTACCCCTGATATGGCGATGCTCACATATAGAGCGCCCCTTATGTCATACCTGGGGTAGTTATTGCATATTAATCCAGTCGTGTTACCTTCAGAATAAACGAGTTAAGACCAAACTGCAATTCCTCAATCAAAATGGCCTGCATTCATTCATTCACACACCTCGTGTTTTCACCTGATGTGGCGTCCCCCCTCTTGTAATCACCTATTATGGCTTGTCCCATAATAATAATAATAATAATAACAACAACAACAACAACAACAACAACTACAACAACAACAACAACAACAACGATAACGATAACTATAATAATAATAATAATAATAATAATAATAATAATAATAATAATAATAATAATAATAATAATAATAATAATAATAATTAGCTCGTGTTGCTCATGTCGCTTACATTATTACCCCAGTCAATG